GGTTTTCGGATAGTTTGGGGATGTATGTTATGCTGTGGCATTGTTTTTTCGTGTCTGTTGTTTTTGTAGATGTTGCTCTATTTTGAGGGCTGGTTATTTCCATTACTTTCTGTTGTATGAGTTCTCGTATTAGGTAGTCGGGGTAATTGTTGCTTTTTAGTATTTTTCTTATTTTGTCTATGTTTGCGTCATGAAATCGTTGGTGGCTTAAAGGGCCTGTGCCAATCGGTAACTTTTTTTCCGTGGTGAGACGGGGTGGAAAAATTTGCTATAGTGTACAAATAAATTGAATTTTACTGTGCCATATGCAGAGTAAAATTTTGACAGTTGAAAAACCAAACAAACGCTCGTGCGAAAGCTTTATTTTTGTGTGTTGCTGAAATTCTTAAAATTTATATTTATTTTATAATTTGCAAGTAACGTACGCTTTTTTTATGCTGTTTCAGCTTTCATTTTAATGTTCACTCCAAATTACCGCCAAGCAATATTATGTGTATACATGCTTATAAGCTGTCAAAATTTTACCTAGCCCCATGAGCTAGGTAAAATTTTGACGTTCGTATTCACCACGAGAAGTGTCAAATTTTTACTTTGATCCGTCAAAATTTTCTATTTTCTATCAATTGGCACAGGGCCAAAGTGAGTATTTTTTGTATTAGGTTTTTGGCGGTGTTTATTTTGTATTTGGTGGGTTGTGATGAGTGGTAGTTAATTAGGTGGCCAGAAGATGTAGGTTTGGAGTACCAGTCCAAACTTATTTACCTTAATTCTTTTTACTTAATGTATTTGTTTATGTAGACAAAACACCCGCACTAAATATGTGGCAATAAAACGAATCCAAAAACCATTGTCGGATATGGAAGAGCGCATTCTAAAGATTGGGCTTCCAATATCGGTTGATGGAGATCATGTGGGTGAAGTCAGATTAATTGAAGAAGTCAGTAATAAAAAACCAGTGCATTATTACTGGATCGTAGTTTTAGTTTTAGCCTTTATTTTAGGTCAACGAAGAAGTCGAAGCAGCAGACGCTAGCTCAACCATCGAAGTTCCGGAAGGTCCTGCTCCTCCTATTGTTAGAAGAAAGGTGTGAAGAGCATGCGCTCAACAAACTGGCCCGTCGTATTTAAGATTTTTGGAGCTAGAAAAGGAAAATATAGAATTAAAAAAGCAAAAGCTAGAAATTATGAAAGAAGTGCTAAATGGGCCAAAATCATGAATAAAAAAGTAGACACGCTTATTGCAAAGCTCCATTAAAAAGGTATGTTTTATTTAACGAAATTCCTCTTTAGGTTTTTACAGTGTTCGCGCAAATGCTCCTGGTACGATTTTATCTCGTTGTAATCTACCAAGTTGTAGATCATTCGGAATTAGTTGTACAGGGATTTTATCGTCGTTTTCGAAAAAAACCTTCCACTTGTAACACTTCTGGACACGTGGAGTGCCATGCAAGCATAAATAATTTCCGTTGCTTTCGAAGGCTCATAGAATAAAACTCTTTCTTTCGTAAGGCATCGAAATCTGCTCTTCAATAGGCCGATGCATCTCTCGACCAAGCTACGAGTTGCCTTATGCGCACAATTAAATCGCTCTTCTGCTTCTGACGTAGAATTGGAAAATGGAGTCATGAGCCATGGCTATTAATAGTATAATAGTAAGCACATGGCAATAGTATTTAAAAGCAAATTTACCCGTAAAGTATATCCGCTGTCTCCTAAAAGCCAAAAATTCCTCTCTCCAGTGTTGTATAAATTTTCCAAGTGTTGCTATACCTTTGAACGTCGCCATACAAAGGCATCATGGACAGTGCCGCCAAATCTCGTGCTGCCATATAAAATGATCATGTTGGCATCGCCTACCACCAACACATTTTTAGAGTGACCCCCTTTGCGGCAATAGTACACATGTTCTACTTCAGATTGTGGGGCACATATCTTTATGTGTGTCCCATCAATAAGTCCTATTATCCCAGGAATACCATTCATTTGATAGAAGTCAGCACGGTTGCCATTTCCAATTTATTTTTCGGACCACAAAATGGACCAAATGGTAAAAAATGGAGCAAGTTTTTATTACATCGGGAAATTGAATGGAGTTTATTCCTCTTTATCAAGTTAATATGCCAATTCAGTTATTATAACGATTTTTTATTTTGTGCATCCAAAGTGCATTACAATTGTGTATTTTTAACATTATATTATTTAAAGTTTTAAATTATAATTTGTTTCTTATTTTCGTTTTTATTAATGCTAGATCAAAAAATTTGCGCTCAGCTGCTCCGGGACTGTGAGGCAGACTAAAAATGTTATGAACTAAATCGTACAATTCTCCAAAGACCGCTTCATCCAATCTATTTTTAATCAAACTTACTTGATCCCAAAAACCTTCTATGTTGATACAGTTTTTGAAGTTATCTTCAGTCAGCCTCAGTTTGCGAAATTGAAAATAATTATGTCTGCATCATTTAACAATGCAGGTGTCCGCCATATTGGATCCGCCATTTTGAATTTTGAAAAAATAATA